GGAGAGAAAGAACTACTAACCTTCTACTGTTGCTGGGAAAGTAACTGGTAACATATTTCTTTGAAAAATTTGTAATGGCATTAGGATAACAGTTTGTTGTGTTATTCATCAGTTTGTAGTGGCTTTGACTCGTTTTTGGACAAGGGATATTTCTACATATAAGATGACCTTTAAATCCCAGAAATCACCCTTAAAAATTGGTGGTCATCTTATATTACAATTCTAAAAAAGAAACCTTAAATTCCGAGTGATGTTTGTCGGTAGTCTAACCTCGGTCTCAATCACCAATAATGCACATAAAAAGATTCACATTATCAAATAAACTGATAATAAAAATAATAAACCTTTTCTACCTTATATATTACTGGCATTACTTCATAATAAATTGCCTATTTGAAAAATAATTCCATATCAATGAAATCAACTTGTATTCATGCAAGCTCAGCTGAGAAAATGTAAACATCGAGTTATGATTACATTTACAGGAATGGGATGTACTATTATCATACATTATTGTACTGTTATTAGTGGTATTTTGTGATTGTAGATGAAGTATAAGTAAGCGGCCATTAGTACACCAGGCTGTTTGTAACTGTTTAATTTCTCCAAAGAGTCCTACAAGTAATATAAAACAATTTGCGAACTGTTTGAAATTCTAGAAAATTTCATAAAATTAATGGGGGGGGGAGGTAGGGGCAGATGTAAAAAAAGAAATATTTTTACCAAGATTTTCTAAAAATAAAAATTTCAAAACTAAATTCATTCATTTTTGAATAAGTTCTGACAGTTTCATTAAAATCAGACAATTATTTGATTTCTGCAAGAATTTCCAAATTAATGGGTTTTCTACTACACTAAAATGACTATTACCACATGTAGCACAAAGTTGACAAAAAAAAAAAAAAAATGAGATTTTTGACCCAAATTTCGAACATGTTAGAAAGAAGATAAATTTTAAAAAAATATTTTGTTTTTTACTCTTAATAATAACATAAATATTTTAATGATAAAACTTTGTTTTTATTAAGTTTGGGGCCTTTTATCATTATCCTATACTGATTTTTAGTGAATTATTGGAGGCACCTAGTTTAGATATAGAAGAAGAAGAAGAAGAAGAAGAAGAAGAAGAAGAAGAATCAGTATTCACAAGAGACCATGTGATGAAACATAAACAAACCAGTGGTTTCACTTTTAGGGTACATATGTGTTATATCCTTAAAAAGGTTACAAACAGACAAAGGTAGTACTCAAGTGAAAGGAACAGCAACACAGGCATAGATGAAAGAAAGAGAGGTTTATTGTAAAAGAAAATACACTACTGAAAGACAGGGAATTGGTTAGCAAGCTAGTAATTCCCAAAGCAAGGATATTTACCAACTGCCCCACATGGTCAGATGTGGCGCAAGGCCGAATTTAACGTGGGGTATCCAAGCCCGTATGCACGGACAAAAATTCCCCATAGACCCCATAAAAAATGGGGTCAGTCAGTTGTTTACCACCCCAGATGAGATTCTGCTCTTCGGCATAGCCTCATCTGGGTTCCTCTCTTTTTTTAAGGCAGAGAGTTTGACTAGCTTAGCTGGAGATGAATCTCCAACTAATTCCTGAAACAAGTCTGCCAGGTATATCCTATGCACACTATATATATCTACTGATATAGTCAGTCCATAATAGGCAATAGGGAGAGTGGGACATTCCATTACAATAATGTGTAGGAAAAACATGATATAGAATCGGTTTTGTTATTTTGAATTTCTAAGGATACAATAAGTAACAACATATCCAATAATGTCATCTTTATATAATCAATAAGCAGTCATCTTATACTACAGGTATAGGATAAATTTATGAAAATTTGCTATATTTTTTTAACCTGGTCTTATCTAAAGGTTACTTTATATACAGAAATCTACAGTATATATTTATGTAATAGGTTGTAGTGGAGGTATTATTATGGATGAATGAGTTCTTTTTTTTTTTGGAGATAGTGTAGTGATAATATTGTGTTGCTACATATTTCTTAGAGATTAAGTAATCCCTCAGAGGAGAAATGAGACTTGTCTTGTTACTACAACATACTGTGGTTGAAGAGCAAATGAAGAGAGTGAGAGGGTTTGGTAGACAAGGGGAGTTAATCCCACAAAGCCATTATGGTTTTAACAAATATTCTTCCAGTGTGACAGACGATAGAAAGAAAAAGATCTTGTGAGCTATCTAAGATTACATGCCATGTTCTTCACTGAAATAACTCTGTGGAAAGTTTACTTAACTGCATTATAGGTTTTGGAATTCCTTAAACGAGATAGAGACTTATTTCTGTGAGCCAATGTATGCTGGTTAAATGCAGAAACATGCCTTCAGAATTAAAAAGTGATACATTTTTATTTTCTTTTGAAAAACAATTTGAAAGAGTGCAAGAATGTAAATCAGTGCAGGATTCTTAATTTCTAAGAGAAGCTGCTTTTATGACTGAATATCTCAACAAACTGAATTTGAAATGTGAAGCCAAAAGTCAAATTCTTTCAGAACTGATTGGATACATCAATGAATTTCAAAATTGAAAGATTTTTTTTAACCAAAAATGATTTGGCACATTTCCCATGTTGCCAAGTGTTGTCAACTGAAATAGAAGAAAGGGATCTTACTAACTTTTATGAGAATATGGATGTGCTGAGTCAAGAATTCAGATCAAGGTCTGCAGAAAAATATATTGCATCTGTACAATGATTCGCTGTGTGTAAATATCAAATTTTCAACTTGAACTGTGTGATTGTCAAAATGACATAGGAAAAGCTTCTTACTGGTGACAGTTTTGAATAACTAAGAGATTTTGGTTTGGAGATTTCCTGGAAACAAGTATGTATGCGAAAGTTCACTTTCAAATTTGAAATTCCTAAAACAAAGCACATGAACTGGCTAACTGATGTTTCTTTGTTATGTTTTCTAAGATTTTTCACAAGAAATGTCTAGGCTTTTATGAAAGAGCTAGAATACTCACAGATCTTTCATGGAATAAATTTTTAATTTATCATAGGGGGAGCATTCTTCTTTCATTTATATGGATAGCTTGTTGTACCAATGCCAAGTCGTTAATTAATGCTTAAAATACAAATTAGAAAAGATTCTTTATTTTTTATTGTATTTTGGCCTCCGTTTTGTCACATGTTTGTTTGTATAGATGTACAGCACTTGACTACTTATGTCTGGAAAAATTTGAACTTACATCGACCTGCCCTATTTGTTTTTATCTGATCATTTTGTGCCTGGGATCTTTGCTTAACATTATATCACAAAGTCTTTCACTTGTTTAATGGCTGTAGCAGTACCTCTGAAATTTATCTATCAACATGTCTCTTTTACCCTTGAAGGCTTTTCTTGGATTACCATTATAGTGTTCTCAAACTGAATCAATTTAATCTTTCTTAGTATCAATGATATTTTTATCTTCAAACATGATTACACATTTTCTTTAGAATCTTTTTAATTTCCCCATTCTCATGTTGGTAACTTCCAGGCTTAATATTTATTTAATATTTTAGTCTGGTAAATCATGCAGGCAAACAAAGAAACATACTTTAGCAATTAGCCTATGGTGGAATAAAGATTCATGGAACATCTTTAATAATCCCTAAAATATTTACATGACCTATTTGTTGTATTTCTTTGAACATGTTTATAATGTATTTCATAAATGAAATTCATTACATGTTGTAAACAATAAAAATTTGAAAATAAAGAAAAACCAAAAAAGATAACTATAGTTTCAAAAACATGTTTTAGCACCACTGATATCAAATTATTTCAATGCCTTTATTCTGTATATAAAAACAAGGAGGAGAAAGCAAGTCATGAAATAATTTTCTAAAATGAAATTTGATTCATTACCATGTTCACCTGTCAACAGTCCAAAGTGAAAAAGTGTTCTTGAATTCAGTGTTGCTTATACTGATGCTTGTTGCAGGCCCGGTAGGGTGCAGTGCTGGTTTATTACTAAGTGGCCTTGTGCCAGACACCACACTAAACTACCGAGTCTACAAGCAAAGTAAAAAAAATAAAAATATGCGTGAATGAACAACGAAGAAATGTGGTTAATCCACACGTGCATAAAATAAAATATATTAAGATAGCCGACACAGAATGACAGAACAAGACTGGATTCCAACAAGAGTAATTTTTAAATTGTCCATAGTAGGGATCATGAAAAAGTTCCATCAAGATGGCTAAAAGGCGGGAAGGTTCTTGAAGAAGAAAGGTTCCAGCTAAGTCAATGTACATGATAATATTCATACAAGGAAAAATACTCACTGCGAGTTTTTTAGGTAATGTGAGTGAATGTTATGTACATATTTTTTTTTTTTTTGTACTGGTTCAAAACAGATTTCTGATGAGACCCAAAGTGGACGACGGATTAATATTTTGTATGTTCTGCATCGTCTCGAGTAGGACTTTGAATGACTAGTCAAAAAGGGCCGAAAAATTAATTATTTGGTATTTGCATCATCTCGTAGAAGGACTTTGAATGACGAGCCAAAAGGGACGAGGAAAAATTATCTGGTATACTTGGGATGCTTTGCATCATCTTGGAAAAATGACTTTGAATGACGAGCCAAAAGTGACGAGGAATTAATTATCTGGTATTTGCATTGTAAGATATCCTTCGTCAGTCAACCTTGCATATTGACATGGCTAAAAAATGAGTCTGCTTAGGTCCGAATCTGGATCACCTACTGAACTTTTCTGAAACAACAGTTTGTCGTTGACGTCACAAATTTTTTCGCGGCAAGATTTCAAAAATCTAATTTGCATAACAGGTCGCTTGGTTGGTGACCAAAACAGTTACTACTGTATTAGACCCGAACGAGGGAGAAAAGGGGTGTCAAATGCGCCGCACACGAGTGTGAAAGAAAGGGAGGAAACTTCGCGCGCGTAAAATGTCGTAGATGGAATAATACATTATTCCACACAGCCCTCCTCCTGGATCAAATGTCGCAGACATTTGACTAATAATAATAGAATGTTTCAAATTTCTTTGGAAAGGTGACTTTTCGACCGGAGCTGGTATACTTAGGCTTGTCGAGAGAAACAGGTGTCTCCTGAACTTGCGGAGTTGATTGGGAAGTAGTATGAGACGACGATTTCTCTATAAAGGCGGGTTTCAACCGATCTATTGAAACGTTGTCGGTGTGAATACCTTTTTGTATTTGGAAATATTTGTCCGCGCGTTTAAGAACGCGGTATGGGCCTAATGTGGGCCGGCGTAAGAGGCCGCTTAACAGAGTCGTTACGTACAAATCGAACTTCGCAGTCCTTGAGCTGGTGCGGTAAATAGATATCACTTTCGGGCAGTGCCGCGGTGGTGTATAGAATAAGTTTGCCATTTTAAGGCGTAAGTCCTGAATAAAGAGGAAGAAACTGGTGGTGTGGTCACAGCTGGTGAAAAATATTGGCCAGGTAAAGATAACGAAGTACCAAATACAAGCTCTGCAGGGAGCATTTCAAGTCATCCTTAAGAATATTTCTTAACGATAGAAGGATGAGAGGTAATTCATCGACCCAATTATTATTCTCATGCTTCGTTGATAGCGAAGCCTTAAAAAGGGTGCGATGGAATCGTTCCACCAGGCCATTAGCACAGGGGTGATACGCTGTAATACGTATATGCTTTGCACCAAGGAGTTCAGTGAATTCCCTGAAAAGACACGACTGGAACTGTGCTCCTCTATCTGTAGTAACCACTTTAGGAGTCCCAAAATCGAAATCCAATCGCGTAAAATAGCTTTTTAACAGTCACAGCAGTGGTATCTTTGACAGGGATGGCAGTAGGCCATCGGGAAAAACGATCCACTATAGTTAGAAGGTAGGAATACCCATGGCAGGTTGGTAGGGGCCCAACTAAGTCCAGGTGTATATTAGTAAAATGAGCATCAGGCTCGCTGAAAGTGCCCACAGGAGATTTTGTGTGTCTATGCACCTTACACTTCTGACATTGTAAACATGTATTGACCCATTCGCGAATGTGAACGTTCATATTCGGCCAAACAAACAGTCCGAAATTAATTTAACTGTGGCTCTTTTGCTAGGGGTGTGAGAGTCCGTGTAGGTGGTCAAAAACCTGTCTCTGAAGAGACGGAGGAACATAAGGTCTCGGGGATTTGGATTTTACATCACAGTATAGGACCTTGTTACTAAAAGGAGCTGGACATTTCTGAAGTTCCAAAAGAAGTGTCGGATAACACCTGCTTCAGAGTTATGTCCGCTTTCTGTTCGTCGGCGATCAAGTCTTGACTGAGTGCATCAGTATGCACGCCGAACATCTCAATCTGAGATAGGGTATCGGCAACAGTGTTATCCGAACCCTTAATGTACCTAATATCAGTAGTAAATTGAGATATATAGTCCAGATATCTGATTTCCCTCGAAGTGTATTTGTCGAATTGGTGGACATAATGGACGTTAAAGGTTTGTGGTCTGTAAAGATAACGAAGGACCTACCTTCGAGGAGGTGTCTGAAATGCTTAACAGCACGAAATATAGCCAACAGTTCACGAGAAAAGGTACTGTAGCGTGACTGGGCAGGAGAAAAGTTTAAGCGGAAAAAGAAACGCTATAGGTCTACGTTGAGAAGGAGTGACTTGTTCAATGACCGCGCCTATTGCTGTTTCGCTAGCGTCAGTGGTCAGGTAGATATCCGACTGAGGGTCGTCCTCTAAGAAACTAAGCTTAGAAAAATTGCCTAGAGCGGTTTTAGCTGCTCGAAAGGCGTCCAAGGCTTCGTTCTCAAGTATAATAGTCTTATTCTTCTTCTTCTGTAATAAGTTGGTAAGAGGAGTCAGAATGTTAGAACAGTTTGGAATAAATCTCCGATAGAAGTTGATCATCCCTATAAAGCGTCTCAACTGTTTGATGGAAACAGGGACGGGAAACTCAGTGATAGCTTTAATCTTTTCAGTTATAGGGGCAATTCCATTTGCATCGACATGATGTCCTAAAATTCTATATGGTCTGATCCGAAGACACATTTGTCCAGGTTTAGACGAAATCCGTAATGGGACAAACGTTGAAGAACTTCCGTGTAGGTGTTGCTTATGCGAGGCAGCGTCCTCGCTAGCTATCAAGATGTCGTCAATGTAATCGAAAACAAAAAGGGAGTCCACGCAGAACCTCGTCCATAAGACGCTGAAAGGTCTGTGCTGCGTTGCAAAGGCCGAAAAGGCATTTTCAAAAATTCAAATAAACCGAAAGGTGTAGTGACAGCAGTTTTTGGGACATCAGCAGCAGCTACTGGCACCTGATAATATGCTTTTTTGAGATCTATTTTAGTAAAAATCTTTGCGCCTTGTAAACCAGAAGTGAAATCGTGGAGGTGGGGGATTGGATAACGATCCCGGACGGTGATGGAATTCAATCTTCTATAATCCACAAATTCTATAGTCTTCCTTTCCTGGTTTAGGTACCAAATGAAGAGGGGAAGCGTAGGGACTGTCGGACGGACGAATAACACCCTCTCGTAGCATGTCGCCAGCTTTCTTTGCGAATTTTTAATTTGTTAGGTGCTAGGCGACGAGGACGGAAAAAACAGGTTGACCAGTGGTCTTAATAAAGTGTTGTGTTTGATGTTTAGTTGAATCAATAGATCCAGCAGGACGCAGGAGGTCCTGGTACTGATTCAATAAGTCTAAGTACTCTTTATTGTGGCAAGTTGCCACGGTGATGCCAGTGGTGGTAAGTTTAGAATAAGTGCCAAGAACACAGTCTTGTTAAGTTGTCAGTCAGGGAATGGTTGTTCATTCTTGCGGCGGCGAGATCATAGTGCGCCAGGAAATCGGCACCTAATATCGGCATCTGGACGTCAGCAACAGTAAAATTCCAAGTAAAGTCTCGTCGCATCCCTATGTTTAGGGTAAGGGACTTCGTACCGTAAGTATTAATACTGGAACCATTTGCTGCTTGTAGGCGGAGCTGGAAAGGTTGTTGACGTGCTTTATCACGCACGGGTAAGACACTAATGGCAGCGCCGGTGTCAACCAAAAACGTAAATTATTACGTGTATCCGTCACATAGAAAAGGCGACTAAGTTTTGGTGAAAATGCCTTGCCAGCGAGATTAGTCGCTTTCACTCGCTGGCGGTTTTTGTTTTCCCGCGACCGCAGTATATAGAACACGGCTTGGTGCAGTAGTGTGCTGCAGACCCAAATCGTCGGTGGTAGTAACACATAGTAGAAGTGGCATCCTTGTTCCGACTGGACGAGCGAGGTCGACTTCTGAAGCGCCGGCAAGTGAAGTGAACGGCTTCAACCATGGCTTTTTAGAGCTAATGTTAAATCTCTCACTTGGCGCTGCAAATCCTCCACTGTTTTTTCCAAGGACCTGTGGTCCCTAGTCGCTTCAGCACTGTGTACTGGCATTGTCTGATTATCCAGTTGCGAGAAAATACGGTCAGCGGCGTCCGCTAACTGGTCGATTGGGGTGTTCTCGGACATAGGCGCCAATATCTGGGTAATGGTGGTGGGGAGACAGTCCAGCCACAAGCTTTTCAATATAGAGTCAGCCATGGTATTTTTGCCGAGTCGGCTTTTCATATAACGAAGGAGTTGGGAGGAGTCCTGCCATCGCAAGTTAGGTTACTAAATAGTTCCCGGATTAATGATTCCTCCGTACGGCCCATTCTCCGTAAGATCACTTCTTTTAACGGGCGTGGGCTCTACTTCAGGAACGGCTTCTAGGAAGTCTGCTACTTCGTCGACAATGGTGGGTGGCAAAACTGCCACCACGTGGCCAAACTTTGTTTTTTGGTCTGTAATCCTTCTGACTGTAAAGATAGCTTCCATTTGTAGGAACCAGTTCTTTATATTCCCTTCATGAAATGGGGGAAAAGGAGTGACGGCGGCGGCCATGTTCGCCAACTCTTCAGAGTCATTAGACGTCATTCTGGCTATCGAATTTATGCACGTTTATATTTCAGCTTGCTCAGAATTATGTTGGCAAGGTTGCAAGATTATTGCGTGTTCAATTCACGTCTTGGGTCACCAAACTTGTTGCAGGCCCGGTAGGGTGCAGTGCTGGTTTATTACTAAGTGGCCTTGTGCCAGACACCACACTAAACTACCGAGTCTACAAGCAAAGTAAAAAAAAATAAAAATATGCGTGAATGAACAACGAAGAAATGTGGTTAATCCACACGTGCATAAAATAAAATATATTAAGATAGCCGACACAGAATGACAGAACAAGACTGGATTCCAACAAGAGTAATTTTTATTAAATGCAGGAAAAACAAGTAAATTGTCCCGTAGTAGGGATCAATGAAAAGGTTCCGCGCCAAAAGTAGAAAACAAGATGGCTAAAGGCGGGAAGGTTCTTGAAGAAGAAAGGTTCCAGCTAAGTCAATGTACATGATAATATTCATACAAGGAAAAATACTCACTGCGAGTTTTTAGGTAATGTGAGTGAATGTTATGTACATATTTTTTTTTCTTTTTTTTTTGTACTGGTTCAAAACAGATTTCTGACGAGACCCAAAGTGGACGACGGATTAATATTTTGTATGTTCTGCATCGTCTCGGAGTAGGACTTTGAATGACGAGTCACAAAGGGCCGAAAAGTTAATTATTTGGTATATGCATCATCTCGTAGAAGGACTTTGAATGACGAGCCAAAAGGGACGAGGAATTAATACTTGGGATGCTTTGCATCATCTCGGAGAAGGACTTTGAATGACGAGCCAAAAGTGACGAGGAATTAATTATCTGGTATTTGCATTGTAAGATATCCTTCGTCAGTCAACCTTGCATATTGACATGGCTAAAAATGAGTCTGCTTAGGTCCGAATCTGGATCACCTACTGAACTTTTCTGAAACAACAGTTTGTCGTTGACGTCACAAATTTTTCGCGGCAAGATTTCAAAAATCTAATTTGCATAGCAGGTCGCTTGGTTGGTGACCAAAACAGTTACTACTGTATTAGACCGAACGAGGGAGAAAGGGGTGTCAAACAGCGTGCAGCCAGCGAAGTGTGTGAAAGAAAGGGAGGAAACTTCATGGCGTGTAAAATGTCATAGATGGAATAATACATTATTCCACATGCTTATCAAAGAGGAAATAACATCACATTTTATGACTCACATTTAATTCATCAATGTGGCTATACTACTTTGTTCTTTTATGTTCCATGTCCTTTGAAGATGTAGGTGATCATGGCCCTCCACATCTTATTGTTCTTTGTAGCTCTTAATAAGTTTTGTCTTTTTATTATTTATCCCAAGCTGTTCTACCATCCATTTAGTCAAGCTCATCAAGTATGTTACACACTGCTTTCCTCTGTCCCTCTTTCTCTCAGCCTGTCCTGTGAGTATCAGATTTTCCAAGCACTCCTTCCTCATTACATTCCCCAGAAATTTTAACTGCCTCTTCCAGATGTTAAGTATAAGTTTCCTTTTTCTTTTCATTTTCTCTAAAACCTTGTCATTGCTCCCATGTTCAGTTCATGGTATCCTCAGCATCTTTCTGTAGAACCACATTTCTGTTGCTTCAAGTTTTTTCTTCATCTTTGAGGAGACTGTCCAGAATTTGCTGAATACAGTTCAATACTCTTCTCTTTGTTTCTAATGAAATTTTTCTGTCTCTTAATAAACTAGTCTCAATTTTTGATTTTGCCCTGTAATCCTAGATTAATCAAAAATAAAGAAAAAAAAAGACCTCTTAGTGATTTCCTTAAATTTGTACTGGCACCATCTTATAAGTTACATTTTATAATTAAAACAGTCTGAGAATTAACCCAAACTTCATGTGTTAGAATTTTGAAACTCTTTTTTACATTAAATTCTTTTATATCATAAGTTATAATAGTTACCTTTAAATGATGAATACCAATTAACTAAAACTTGATGGTATTCTATGTATAAAAAAAAGTAATATACTGATGTGGTGCTGACCGTTAAGTAATGTGACTTAAAGTTACAGAAGAAACATTATCTAAATTTAAATCTTTAATATAGATAATCAATACAAAGTAAATTCATTTTATGAATGAAAATTATTATTTTCTGACTTCATTGTGTTCAACACAGATTAAATATTTAGAGGAGGCAATACAAGAAAAATATCAATTCAACAGAGTAACATTTATGAAACATAATGGATGTGATATTCATAAACAAATAGTCTCTTATGCAGTAGTAATAAGCAAGAGAATAGCATAAAATAAAAAAAATGCAATCAAGTATTTAATAAAAATTCCCTTTGATAGTCATATACAAATAAATACTTACACAACTTGTAAATCTGTTGTATTCCACTGTTGTTTTATTGGAAGTGTAAAGGCCTTTACTCCTGTTGAATAATTGAGATTTCTTGCTGCCATTATTGTATATCACATTTGAGTAAGTTATAGGAATTCTGTGTAACTGTCATAGATTACTATCAGTGTCTATCCTGAGAACTATTTAAGAGTCATCTACCAACTTTCCTCATTGTCTCTGTAAGTTCTTTATATTGTCCTACTAGCTCCCTCCCATATGGAACTGAGAAATACCAGAACAGTTCATTCAGCAAGGAGATGATACTCAACAATAGCCATGTAGAAAGATCTTTTGTAACAGTTCATGGAAGAAATTTAACAAAGAGAACACAAAGAATTCATAAAGATTTACTTCTTGCTGAGGAATCTATATGGTCTCCCTTCACATGGAGCATGGAGAAGTTACTTACTGCATGCTAGTGAGCAGATTAAACAAGAGAGAAATTTGATACATGATTGTATTCTGGATTGTAAATTCTGGATAGTGACATCATTGTTAATTTTCATGAGTTGATCCCCTTGGACATTCTTTTACATAGGAAGGGAAAATCTTACCCGGAAATGCCAAACAGCTATCTTTCACTGAGAATGCACTTGGAGAATGAAGCAGTTCAAAGAAATCATTCTTTCTACATCACTTGTTTGAGTTTCTTTAATTTAAATTTACAATCAGGATATGTAGGATAGATATCGGTTGACCCTTTGAAGATTGGTTGGTTGAATTTGTTTAGTGACATATCAATCTCTATAGATTATTTAATGCTGAAATTGAAATATTTTGAACATGATTTTATGACTTCAACTAAAGACAAAATGTATTGTTGGTCATTTTGCTATAAAATGTATTGTTCATAATTCTACTATAAAATGCGTTGCTAGTCATTGGGCTTTAAAAATCTATTTTTGATAATTTTACTATAAATATGTATTGCTGGTAATTTTTTTAATATAAAAATGTATTACTGGTATTTTTACTATGAAAATGTATTTTTATACTTTCATAGTGTTTGATTATTGTTTGTGGATTCATTATTTGCCTATAGCTGGGACCTTAACAGGTGCTATCATCCCAGGTCAGGATGAGCCTGGGAACAGTAATTAAGAGGAAACTTGAAGAGGTTAAGATTGTAGTGATCATGGAAGCATCCTCTCAGGAGTTTGTTCCACAATATAATAGTTCTGGGGAAGAAACTAAGTGAAACTTCCTCCTTACCAAAGAAATATTAAACGGATAAGGAGAGTTCAATGTCATGTACATGGAATGGTAGTCCTAGCTGTAGATGTCTAAACTGGTGGAACTTCAGTGGAAATGCTTACAACAAACATTTTTGTGGCACAATCAAGAAAGAAGGTTTGTAAAAGTTAACACTTGCAAGATACATCAAAAGCAACAGAAGTAAAATAAAGCAGTGAATAATCTACTTGATAAGTTTAAGCAAATAGAGAAACAAATGCCACAAAGAGAGAGAGAGAGAGAGAGAGAGAGAGAGATCATAAAAGAATGTAGCTCATCTAAACATTTCCCATGGAAATAGCAATAGAGTAGTGAGAGGCAAGCAACATTTCATCTGTGAGATAAGGGTTGAATCATGGAAAATAAATCACCCACAAGGTTGTGTAATCGATAGAAGTGTCAATGCCAGACAGTGAGGACTGAGCAGCACCAGCCCAGACATGTCAGCTATACTTGTTCAAACATCTGCCACAGTAATACCGATAGTGTAGTGAAAGTCTGGCATGTTTTGTCTGTGAGAAGAGGGTTACTGGGTGGAGAATATGTAATCACCCACAGGGCCACATAATCACATTTGAACTCTGTCATGACTGGACAGTGTGAATTGGGCAGAATCAGCCTAGATATGACAGCAAGACTCCATTCTTGGCCTGATTTGACTCTTGTAAAGATAAAGCCTGGCAGCAGCAGTTAGCTACTTTCTGGAGTGATACAAGGAACGATCATTCTTGCAGTATATTTTGTGATGGTACAAATATATTTATTTCCCATGTTGGAAGTGAGTTTTAGACATAGTATATGGTCAAGGAATAATTCATCACCCACAAGACTGCATAACTGCTTTTGAATTCTGTTGAAACTGGACAGTAAGGATTGGGCAACTCCAGCCCAAATATGGCAGCAAAACTTCATTCTTGGTCTGACTGATTCTTATAAAAATAGAGCATGACAGCAGGAGTTTGGTATTGTCTGGGGTTATATAAAAAACTCACCATTCTTCTAGCACCTTTTGCAATGGCACAAATATATGCATTCCATTTGAGGTCAGGAATGATCATTAGACCCAGTAGGTGTTTGAGGCAAGGAGCCTCTTTGAGCACTCTATGACCACTCATCAAGATTGGTACAGGTTTAGGGGTCTGCTCAATGGTGATGAAATCTTATTACTTAGTTTCATATGTATTGAATAATACCAGTTAGTCTTTCCCCATTGAGTTGTATCTTATAGACAAATAAAAGCTATCCAAGAATGCAGCTTGTTTAAACATCTTCTATAGTAATAGAGATACTGTAGTTAAATGTTAGCAATGTTTTGTCTGTGGGATAAGGGTTGCTGGGTGGAGAATATGTAATCACCCAGAGGG